GTGGTACAGGCAAGTACGGCTGCTGCCCCGGAGAATGTCCTTGAGTGGGTCAAAAAGGATAAAAGGCGGCTGCTTCACGTTGTTTACCGTGTTGGGGATTTGGACAGGACCATAAAGTATGTTTGTTTAGTACAATATGAAATGTTCTACTTGTGTAATGTATTTTCATGTATTGGATAATTAGGAAGTTCAGCCTACTTAATGAATCTAATACAAATGCGTGTGGTGGCTGCAGATTCTACACTGAGTGCCTGGGGATGAAGTTGCTGAGGAAACGTGACATACCGGAGGAAAGATACACAAATGCGTTTCTTGGATATGGGCCGGAGGATTCGCACTTTGTCATTGAACTCACCTACAGTAAGCTATTTAAGGATTCTAGCTTAGCAAATCTTTCCTAGAATCTGAAGCAATTGGAACTTCTGTTTGCATCTTTCATGAAGCAGCATCTCACTAGCATAAGTAATTTAATTTATAATGTCATCTCAATGAGTTAATAGTCATTTCTCTGATATTTTGTTGCGTAAGTATTTATATTTGGGCTGATACATTGATGTTGCCAGATTGAAGCAGCATCTCACTAGCATAAGTAATTTAATTTATAATGTCATCTCAATGAGTTAATAGTCATTTCTCTGATCTTTTGTTGCGTAAGTATTTATATTTGGGCTGATACATTGATGTTGCCAGATTATGGTGTTGACAAGTATGATATTGGAACTGGATTTGGTCATTTTGGTGTGGCAGTTGAGGATGTAAGTTTTGATTTGTGGCATCTTTCGCTAAGTTGTTATGTTATTCACTCTTCCATTCTTTAAGCATGCAGTTAGCCTTTTATTGTAGTTTTTGGACCCTATAGTTTATAAACATCTTATTCCTGGATTGTCTTTTGGATTGTTGGTTCTTGTTGACGCACCCAGATTTCATATTCATTTATGGGTTCCTTTGGCTAGGTTGCTAAGACTGTTGAACTCATAAAAGCTAAGGGTGGAAAAGTAACGAGAGAACCTGGTCCTGTAAAAGGGGGCAGCACAGTTATCGCATTTATTGAAGATCCTGATGGTTATAAGTTCGAACTTTTGGAAAGAGGGCCCACACCTGAGCCCTTGTGTCAAGTAATGTTTCGCGTTGGTGATCTTGAACGTTCCATAAACTTCTATGAGAAGGTGAGACTTCTGAAGAAAAATAAAGGCATAACTGACTTCATGAGCCATGTGCTTCGTTCTTAGTCCTTTTCTCCTTTATTTAGGCTTTTGGAATGGAGCTTCTGAGGACCCGGGATAATCCTGACTACAAGGTAACTCTTTATTCTTTTTTTGATTAATTAGCAAAATAAATTATTATTATTATTAGTTTTTGTTCATGTATGAATGCTCGAAATACTTGTTGGAAGAGATATGTAGATAGAATGGGCCAGGCGACCATTTTGGTGCTTTCTCCATCTGAATTTTGGTGATGGGTCAAAATGCGATGAGAGGGAAACGACCATGCCTTACAACTCTAACAAGATATATTCTTATGTTTTATTTCTCTTGGTGACATGTTTTTTTGTTGATTCTTTCTAGTATACAGTAGCGATGCTAGGCTACGGCCCTGAAGACAAAAATGCTGTTCTGGAGCTGACCTATAACTATGGTGTCACTGAATATGAAAAAGGAAATGCATATGCTCAGGTAGAAAACTTGAACCTCATTTCACCCCTTACTTCTGAAGACTTCCTCTCAAATATGTTTAACATAAATTCTGCTCTATTTGCATACATTATTCTAATATTGCGATGCTTGCTTCTGTTATAATACTATTGTGTGTTCTGTTTCCTATGTTTCTTAGTCTATTTTCACTATGCTTTTTAAACAATTTTGTTGGGTCTCATACCCCACTCTCTCACTCGCCAGTTTTGAAATTTGACCTTTTATTAAGTATAACACGTTCAAATCTTGGCAGATAGCGATAGGCACGGACGATGTCTATAAAACTGCAGAAGCTGTTAAACTTGTTGACGGAAAGGTTACCCGGGAACCTGGACCGTTACCTGGCATCAACACCAAAATTACTGCTTGCTTAGATCCTGATGGTTGGAAGACGGTATGGTTCATTTTTAAGAAACTCTTCACTTTTTTATGCAAGATGATTGATGCATTTGCATTGAATACTCAATTGATTCTTAGTGGTCAGCTATAAGATAGAGGTATATATAATTTCTTTTCTTTGTAATCTTATGTCTTATTTTCCCTTGATTTTTCAGGTTTTTGTAGATAATGTTGATTTCCTCAAGGAGTTGGAGTGAGATATTAGCTCCCTTGAGCACAGCAGGCTTGGAACTGAAATGGAAGACTTGGATCAAAGTAAATCTCTTTTGAAGGGCTTCCCCATTAAGGAGTTGCGACCTTTTTGTAGATAATATTACAGTAATGACTTATCACAACATGCATTGTAACAAAAATCTCGTCATTAGCTCTTCAGTTGTCGTTTTATGTAGTTTGTGACAAATTATCTGTCTAGATTGTATTGTTTTTAAAAGAATAAATCTGTTTGATCAAATTTTCCCATTTGTTTTCATGAAAAGATAGCCTCATAAATATGTTGTAAGTTGTAACCCTTTGTTTGGCGTCTGGGAAGATTGGGTGTTAAGTCACTTGTTGGTTCTTGTTAGGGAAATAAAATATCATTTTCAAATCATTGTTATACTGATCGGTAAAAATACAGAATTAAACAAAAATGGTATGTCGTTTTTAATGAAAGGCCGTAATATTTTTT